TTGAATAAATGATGTTCAGAAGAAATGAAAAAGAGGCTGAGTTGATACAAGATGATAGTTTGAAAACACACTAATTGGTGCTGAGCATATAGTATGTAAATTGTGTATACTTTAATTTTTAAACATCATTGAGATGGTTGAAGCACTTAGAAGATGTGGGTTGTAAATAAAATTTAAAGCAGTATCATACCACTTTAAACAGTCTTGACTTCCCGCAAAGAATGCTGGGAACTGGAGTTTGTTAGTAGTGTTAAGAGTTGTTAAAGGTAAAGGTAAAGGTACCCCTGCCCGTACGGGCCAGTCTTGACAGACTCTGGGGTTGTGCGCCCATCTCACTCAAGAGGCCAGGGGCCAGCGCTGTCCAGAGACACTTCCGGGTCACGTGGCCAGCGTGACAAGCTGCATCTGGCGAGCCAGAGCCGAACACGGAAACGCCATTTACCTTCCCGCTAGTAAGCGGTCCCTATTTATCTACTTGCACCCGGGGGTGCTTTCGAACTGCTAGGTTGGCAGGCGCTGGGACTGAGCAGCGGGAGCGCACCCCGCCGCGGGGATTCGAACCGCCGACCTTTCGATCGGCAAGCCCTAGGCGCTGAGGCTTTTACCCACAGCGCCACCCGCGTCCTTGTTAAGAGTTGTTAGGAGACCCCAATCCCCTCACAGAGCTACAATTCTGAGGGGTTTAACATTCAATCCCTCTTCTGAGGGAACTTGGGCACTTGTAACTCTATGAGGGGAATGGGGTCTCCTAACAATTCTCAGTTCCCCTATAGTTCCCAGGATGCTGGAGGGGGCTGGGGAATGATGACTATATAACGTTGCTTTAAATGAGTAGTGCAGATGGGGCCAAGGAGTCAAATCTCTCGCTGTTGCAGAGGGAGAGATGAGATAGTGTGGCTTTCTCCATCAGCTTGGATAGAATCCTCTCCTCTCCAAGAACCTTTGTCATCAGTATCCATTCCACCTGGTTGCCAGAGAGACAGAGACAGAGGCTGGATCTAGACACAGCAAAGAAGCATTTCAGGAAAACGTGTTGTAAACTTTGTATGAGAAATGGTGTTGGTAAAAATGGAACTCCACAGTGCCATCTGGTATCACAATGTTATAATGCATATACAATGCATATAAAACACTTTTTCTTTACCCATCTAGCCGAGTCCAGAGAGAGAGAGAGAGAGAGAGAGAGAGAGAGAGAAGGAAATTAGACAGTGAGCACCCCCCCCCCACTGAATGGACCAACATCTCATTTGACCACATGCAGGTCCAACTACCCACCAGCTCATTCTACAAAAAAATCAGTTATCCCAACATAGAGAATGATGCCCAAACCTTGCTATGCACACCACAGATTCAAATATTGCAGCAGCTGGAATATGCCTATTTCCTCACTGCATTACTTGTTTGTGCTCCTGGTTCGTGGCAGCCCTTTTCAGGCAGAGACCATGTTGAAACATAGAGCAGGAGACATCAGACAAATTAGTTTTTCCTTTGTCTCTCTTTTGCTGGTTGTCTGCAGCCATTCCAGAAATGAACAATGGGGGGTAGGGAAGATTACAGATTATAAATGTTCCCATTGGAATAAGTGGAAATTTTGGACTCGTTATGCAAATGCTTGTCTAATGAACAATTTCCAGGGGATGCATTGTGTATGGTAAGAAGGGCAAGCATTTCTCAGAATCACCTTTTGCAGTGGTCATTCCGCCTGTTCATTATGTAGCATCATCTGGGAGGAAAATGATGGAACTGGTACCCAAATTTTCTGGTTTTCCTCCCCCCCCCCCCCGTATCATTTCCAATATATTAAAGGCTATTATTTTAAACTGTAACTGCATGAAGTACTTGGGCAGGAAGGTTTATATAAATGCAGGAAGTAAGCAGAATTTGATTAAATAGAATAGATAATGCTGAGCCCTAACACACACATGTAAGTTCCCTGTGTAGCAGCCATGGTGCAATTACCATTTATGCCTCAACCAATGTTGTGCCAATTGTGGAACTCGGATGCCTAATTATGATCTGCTGGCATTTCCCTGCAAGATTTTGTCCCCGTTATGAGAACTCAAGTTAGGAGAGAAAAGGAGAATTTGCCCATGGGGGCCTGAAGGTGGCAGGTGGTAGCTTTTCATACAAAGGAAGACTGATCATACTCATTGATTTTGTGAGTTACACACTCTGATATTTAATAGCAGAAGAGATGCCCCATGAGCAAGCCTGAAGGGCTGTGCACATTTCTTCCTCCGTGCCTTTTTCGTGTGCATGCTGAGGCTAGAAATGCTGCCAAAAAGCCAATATCCAATTTGTCAAGAGTGTCCTTAGTCTCAAAAGAGACTCTGTAAAACAATAGCTTTCTAGTCAGCCATCTCTTGAGCATCATTAGCGCTATTTCTAAATCTGTTTCCTTCGGCTGCTAAATGTTGTTGGGCAATGTCAAGTGGAAAGTTAACAGTTGGTAGAGTTTTGCTTAGCTAATAGCTAGAGATGTATCTTTAATGGTATTTGATGGTCTTAGGCCCAGAAAACTGGCTCGGGGGGGGGGGGGGTCAGGAGAAACTGTATGAGCAGTACTGAGTTTTGCAGCTGGTCACAAAGTACTAGGACTGTGTGCATGAATGCCCCCCCACCCCTGCAGTCTATTAAAAAAAAAAAGTACTGTCATACATCGGGTTGAAGTTGCTTCAGGTTGAGCGTTTTAGGGTTGCGCTCCGCGGCGACCCGGAAGTAACAGAACGTGTTACTTCCGGGTTTCGCCACTCGCGCATGTGCACAACTTCTAAATCACGCTTCACACATGCGCACAAGCACCAAATCGCACCACGCACCTGCGCAGATACAGCACTTCAGGTTGCGGGCTTTTCATGTTGTGAACGGGCCTCCGGAACGGATCCCGTTCGCAACCAGAGGTATCCCTGTACAAAGGAAATTCTTTCTATTATTCCAGCCTTTTTTGCACATCTACTTTTTATGCTATCTGCTCCAAATAGTAGCTAGTAATGTAAGAAGTTCTTGCTCTTCCTCTTCAAAATTTATTTCTATCAGGTGATATTTGCAACAAAGTGTGTAGACCTTTCGGTCTCTGACCATAGATGGCAGGTGAACACATCTCAATGCAACCCTTGCACCTCCCCAGAAAAATTCTGGAACAGCAATAACTAGTAAGGACTTCAAGAGCAAAAATAAATAAATAAATAAAAATGCTTCGCTTGTCCCACATTCTTGTTCCCTGGGGGAGGGAGACTGTGGATTTGGGGTCTTGTGCTGGATATAAACATAGCAAAGAAGGCTCATAGAACAGTTTACTTGTTATAGCGTAGTGAAGACGGATCTCTTTACATATCCAAAGGTCCTTTGTCCCCTCCCCTCCTGCAGACATTCACAGTGTCAACTTTTTAAACTTTAGTGTACAGATTCAAAGGAAGAAATGCAGAATTGCTGTGAATCTGAAGTCAGATCCCAACCTCTGAAAAGGAAGAAGGCATTATGTAGTAGAGGTGTTTCACCTAAAAAGAATAGTGTTTCCTTCCTCTGTGCTCTGAATCATGCAGGGAGTGTCTGTTCCATGCACTATTTATTTCTGAGCATTGTAACCGTCTGTTTAAAATCGGATGCTAAATCTTGCATGAGTATTGATCATAACTGAATATCATCCATTATGAATACAGCATTTTGTTCTGAAGAATGGCTTATTAAAATGATAGAGGTTGAGCAGTGAAGTGGGGAGGGAAGAAGCAGTGGCTATTTAATTAGCTGCTGTAATTTTTCACGGTCATTGTAAAGAGGGGTGAAATGGCCACATTTTCTTCTCAGCTCTGTAATATCTCTTTATGTACTGGAACATTATATCAGATTCTCTGTTTACCAGGCCTGCACTGAGGATAAAAGAATCACCCACCCACCCCAATTTTAAAAAGTCATTATTTTGCATTTTATAGCAGCAGCTTGAGAAAGCAAAGTTGTTCCTCCTGGAAGAGAAAGTTGCTCAATTATTGATAGTTGCCATCTAATTTGTTTAGTTTTATAAACCGTAGCAGCCAACATCCTTGTTAGCTAATGCCACTTTAAACAGACCCGAGCCTTGTGATGTACAGTATGTTAGCTTTCCTGAAATATAAATAACAAATATATCTTTAACAGAATAGCTTGCAGAACCAGCTGCCACTGCTTCAGACACCATCATGCAACCCAGATAAAGGAGGCTTTGGCAGCAGTGGCAGAATGGGGTGGGTGGAGTAGCACCTTCCCATTTCCTGTTGGGCAGTGACATGTGACCAAAAGTGGAGATGGTCAGTTCCAAATTCACTCTTAAAATGTGGGATCAAACACAACTATGCCATTGTCAAAGGCAAACACAGAAATACCATTACTAAAAGTTTAGGGTTGACAATTGCCCCCTTGATATGTTTTGAGCTACAGACCAGCTTGTGTATACCAAAGCCTTTCTTCCATCTCTTCCAAGCCCTCATGTGTCTTGATAGCCCTTTGGTGCATGAGGAACCATCCAACTCATAATAACTAATATTACTTTCCCTGATTTCCTTTCATAGAATGGACTATTATGGACTAATTAATTTTTTAAGATGAGACATCTTACATGTTAAACACCGAGACCTGCAATCACTCTTTTGTTAGCATTTTATTTCCATTCCTTCTCAGGCTGAGATGCCATTTTAAATTAAGTGTGGACTGGAGAGAACATTTGATGCCCCTTAACCACATATAACTCATTTTCAAAGTTCCACATCCCTAGACTAGCAGATAGGTCAACAAAACATAAACATTGTAAAATTATTTTATTAGCCCACGAGCATATTCATGTTTCTTATGAAAGGGTGCTACATATGGCAATAGTATCACTTTACCCCTCTTCCTTACACCACTGATATTGATAATTAGGTAAATTAATTACTTCATCAGCAAATCAGAGGTCCAACAATCTTCCCACAAATTTGGCGGCACTGAGCACAATAACTAATTAACACAAAGGTGACAAATTGACCGCTTACCTTTTAAAGCTGTAATTACCCCTGCTATTGCAAAATAGGCCTCCGTTATGCAGATGGCTGATTAGTAAACGTTCCAAAATGTTGCATCTAATTTTAGTAGCCAAACATCCATCTAAATAAAAAAAACAAAAAAACACACCTTTATGTAACAAAGTTTGCTTACACTTCTAACAATGTTGAAGGTCTACAAAAGTAATTTTACTGTGAAGGAATAACAACATACAAGAAAACCAGGGTAGTGTGTATGGATATGAATTTTATATTTCCAAGATCATCTCATGAGATTTCAGGGTTTTAGATGGTACCTACATTGGTAGTAGTAGTAGTAGTAGTAGTAGTAGTAGTAGAAGTAGTAGTAATAATAATAATAATAATAATATATTTATATCCCACCCATCTGGCTGGGTTTTCCCAGCCACTCTCGGAGGCTTCCAACAGAATATTAAAATACAATAGTCTATTAAACATTAAAAGCTTCCCTAAACAGGGCTGCCTTCAGATGTCTTCTAAAAGTCTGGTAGTTGTTATTCTCTTTGTCATCTGGTGGGAGGGCGTTCCACAGGGCGGGTGCCACTATCGACAAGGCCCTCTGCCTGGTTCCTTGTAGCTTGGCTTCTCGCAGCGAGGAAACCGCCAGAGGGCCCTCAGTGCTGGACCTTAGTGTCCAGGCTGAACGATGGGGATGGAGACGCTCCTTCAGGTATACTGGACCGAGGCCATTTAGGGCTAAGCTTTTCATAAAATCCTCTCTCTGCATATCTTTGTTCTTCCACCATCTTTATTTCCCTTCTCCTTTCTTTGAACAAAAACCAGTACTCTGCTGTGTTCATTCCTCTAGTTCATCAATGCTATTTCACAAGCTGGCATCAGCATCAGCTGTGCAGACAAGGCCCTGTTAGCGAAACCAGCCAATATTCTAGAGCAGCTGATTCCAATGTGGCGCCATCCACATACTGTTGGATTACAACTTCCATCAACAATAGACAACATGGTCAATGATCAGGGGTTATGGGAGGAATAGTTCACCAATATATGGACTGCTAATCTGGACACAGAGAATCAAGGCATGTTTGTTGAGACCAGAAGATGAGGAGTAGAGCCAGAGGTCTGGCTAGAATGAGTTACCAAACAAAATTGTGATGTTCTGGGCTATCTCTCTCTAAGAATAATGAAAGCAATGAGACCTTATTGCCAAGCAGTTGTGGAAGCAGGAAGAGGTGAAAAAGCAAAGGAGGAAAGGGCCTTCTTAGGGGAAAGGGATTGCCTCGCCATACCCAACTTTGTTGCTTCAATTCAGCCAAGTGCTTCATCCTCCGAGACACCTTGCTTTCCATTTGTAAGTAAATCCATCCATTTGCATGCCAAGACCTCGTGCCCCTTCAGTTACCTAAGGGTGAATAAACCAGACAAGAGAACAGCATATGGTATTATGGGTTCCAACAGGCCACAAGCAGTGGCTCTTCAGGGTTTCAAATGGGAGTCTTCCCCAGCCCCACCCGTCAATGCCAGGAAGTGAAACTAGGATCTTGTGCATGTCATGCATGTTGTTTTTATCATTGAGCTACAGCTCTCCCCCTAGCTAACTGCAGCTCAGGAGAGACATTGCTTCACATGGTATGGTACCTCCCCCCTTGTTTTGGTCTGAATGCTGCTGGTGGTTGAAATAGGCTTTGTAGTTTGCTAAACAAATATGCAAACCTGCAATGCCTGCATATTGGGGGTGAAAGTGGGATAGATAACTCTAGACATACTCCAGGCGATGATTCTTCTCTTTTAAAAAGACTCAAAAGTTCTGGGGGGAATAAAGGTAACAGAGATAGGGGCTTTGCATGAGTAGCCCACCTCTTTGGAAGTACCTTTCCTGGAGAAAAATATATTGATGGCATACTCACGTATGTGCTGTTGTTGTAAGCCACTTTGCATTTCTTTTTGCAAAGAAAAAGAATAACTAAAGCATATTTTTGTGGCTGTTCTTGGCATTTGACTGCTGAATTCATGCTAAGTTCTATGTTTTAATTGCTGCTGCTTAGCTGTTAATTTATTGACCTTGTTCTATCCTTGTATATCTGTGTTATATTGATGTTTTGTTAGCACATTGGAAAGGTTTTGCCTTAAAAGGTCAGAATGGAAAGGCATTGAATAAATAAATGAATAAGTAAAACCTTCGGCTCTGCCTTTGGGGTGATAATTGTTTTTCAAAACGAGAATTGTTCAAGGATCCTTACTGGATGCTACTGGAGTTCTACTGCTGCATCCCAGATAGAGATTATTTACACACACACACACACACACACACACACACTTCATGTCATGAGACAAAGGTTCTTGAGAGCAGAAACACTAAGGCCTACAAGGCCTACACGATCATTCAAGCCTAAGCCTGCTAAGTCACGGTGACTCGTGTCTCATCTTGGGTGATGACACGTTCTCCCTATAAAAGTAGCCAGCCTCTCTGTGGGCCTCAGTGTCTGTGTGTGTCTCAGCCAGTGTGTGTGTTGTGTTGTTGCAGACAAGAGTGGCTCCAGGACTCTAGTGAATCACTAAGACTGTGAAGAGTCAGATAGCTGCTATGAGCACTCTGTGTATGCTCTTTAACTATGCTGTTTATGAACAACTTTATTTTCTCAAGTAGGAGTTTTATTCTGTTTCTGAAGAAAACTCTGTGTTGATTAAGTTACCGTTGCGCAACACTTCAGTCCTACTCACTGTGCTGCTATAAAGGCATTCACTGTCTCAACCAGCATCTCTTCCCCAACCCCATTTTCAAATTCAATACTGTAATTACACTGGAAAAAAATGTATAGTGGGAGGATCATTTCTGTGATACACACACAAACACACACACACAGTGGTACCTTGGGTTGCAAACTCCACTAACCCGGAAGTAGTACCTCGGGTTAAGAACTTTACCTCAGAATGAGAACAGAAATCGCGCGGTGGCAGCGGGGGGCCCCATTAGCCAAAGTGGTACCTCAGGTTAAGAATAGTTTCAGGTTAAGAACGTACCTCCGGAATGAATTTTCGTAAACAGAGGTACCACTGTATATGTATATGTGTGTGTGTGTGTGTGTGTGTGTGTGTGTATATATATATGTATATGTATACACACACACACACACACATATACATATTTCTGTCTTGTCGTGGTATGCAAGCTGTCTTTCAAGTGCCATTGCCAGCCTGTATTTATGAATGTAATTTGTTGTTAAGCAGAAGTTCTGCAATAATCTTGGCAAAGAAGACAGGGAACAAAACTTATCCCCTGGATCGTAGCTTATCCCTCAACCCACAAAACAAGCCTTTTTGAGCTCCATGTCAAAAATGATATGTTCATCTTTCTTGAGACCGAACACAGTTCCTGTGATAGGGAATGTCGAGTTGCATGGTTGATGCTAATACAAAGTGCTGGAATTCAGGTAGGTGCCTGGGGATCAGTCTTATGAAATGTCCACAAGAAAACGGCTGCAGCAGTCTGATGATTGAAAGACAGGTTTGGTAAATGGTTTAAAAGGCAGACCTTCGGGGGGACTTATCAAGAGATGGTAATGGGCTAAAGAACTTCAGGAAAAATTAGACAGAATCAGCATTCCCCTAAGGGAGATGGCTGAAAATTAATCCTGCCATCAACATTTGAGATCACTGAATTTTCCATATGAAGATTTTGAATTATGAGTGTTTAAAAATACCTAAGAATTACTTTTATATTTTCTGAGAAAAAAACAAACAAACATGCAGAGGTGGGGAGCTGGTTTCCTATGGGCCAAATCTGGCCCACACAACTAGTTTCCCAACCTCTCTTTAGCAGCAGTCCAAAAGGACTTTCTGAAGCAGTAGTGGACAGTGGGGTGGGGTGGCAGTGCTCACCTGGCCTCTGGACATCTGAGTCATTGCTGCTATCGGACAGGGGAAGGGAAGAGGGCAGGAAATTTAGCATAGTACAAATGCACAAGTGAAGGCAATACTTGCATCACACTGACGTCTCTGACACCTCACTCCTTTCCTAATAAGTAGCAGTGACTCAGCTCCCAATATGTAGTGGTGACTCAAGCGAGTGCTGCAACTTCACCACTGTTCGCATTCTTCTTCTTTCTCAGTCAGAAAGACCAGGGTCTAGAGAAGCCTGCAATATGGCAAACTACTGTCCCAAGCCACTAGTCCCCAAAGGTTTCACTTGTCTTTCACATTCGGAAAAGTAAGGGTGATAGGAGCACTGGCTATGCTGAGATCCAGTGCCTCTAGACACCTACCAATATCTCCTCCCCTACAACTGCTAAGGGAAAGAAAATACTATATGCAATGTATTTCTTTTGCAAAATGTCTCCAGCTGATACACAGCCTCCCAACTTCAATCATCATTGCTTTGAATTACTCGATAATGTTGAAAAGTAAATGAGGAAATTGCTTTGAAAACTGCTCCTAGATATTTGCACATCACAACTATCAAAATGTAGTCGCTCCCTAATAGGTATGTATCTCCCCACTCCCAAATGCTGATATTTGTTTCTTCTTGATATAAATATAAATTTCAGTAATTTAGTGAACTCTCTATTAGGTATGCTTATTTGGAAGGTAACAATTATGACTACTTCAGTTTCCTAGCAACATACACAATGTGTGCGGATTGTGGTGGTGGTGGGGTTGCTGTCCAGAGGAAGAACATTTAAACAGTAATGATGTCAAAGTATACCAATGGAAAAAGAAGCAGAAATTGCTGGAGTTGGTATGCTCGTCTTTAGTCAGGAATGAAAATCAGTCAAGCAAATGCAAGCAGTATTTATTGATATCTTTGCTGTTTTTAAGTCCAGAAACAATATGCAGTTGGTGACTCTAACATTGTTTTCATGTTTCCTTTACATTGAAATGAATGTCGGTTATGAAAATTCTTATGTACCTTAATGTACCTTAAATAGCAGACAGCAAGAAAAATAACATAATATTTGGCAGAAACTGAACTACAGAAAAATGGAAACAGTGCTGATTGTGACAAATACAGGTTGGAATGGAAATCACTACCATCTTAGATCCCTAGCTCCCAAAGTAATGTCTTTATACAGCCAGTGCCGAAGTATGTGAATAGGAAGGAAAGCAGAAATACGACGAGGTTATCAAGCTTTACCCAGAATTTTCACTGTGCAGAAAATTGGATCAATACAATGAAACAAAACTAATGAGATAACCCTAAAGATGCCTGACTCACCTTGATGTAGTCTTTATGTCAGCGCACGCACGCACACACACACACACACACACATACATACACAGTGGGCCCTCTAGTTACGTACCGCTCTGGATACGTAACTTTCGGGTTACGAACGCAGCAAACTTGGAAGTGTATATTTCTGGGTTTCGCCGCATGCGCAGAAGCGCTCAATCGCAGAAGAGACACCTCTGCCTACGGACTTTTCTGGTTGTGGACGGAGCCCTGGAACGAATTTAATTCATTTCTGGAGGGTCCATTGTGTATGTGTGTGTGTGTGTATATATTGCTGCAATATATCAAACCCCTCAGAAATAATATGTATGCATCTGTAAAGCAATTGCACAGTTCTTTTAAATTTTGGATTCACAGATATTTCATTACTCTGCCTTGCTCAATTACGATTTAATATTTACCTTTGTGTTTATGAATTATATATATCACAAGGTCAAGATCTTTGGAAAGAGAACCAAAAAATACATCAGATTTTTCAAGCTACACTAAGTGTTGCATGTTTTATAGAAACCTTTCTCTTCCCTTTTATATCAAGAGATGCAGGTACAACGGTAGATAGGCTTCCCAGAAGGTTTCATTATGGAGACATTATCAAGGAAGCACAACATGAAGTACAGCCTTTTCATGAAGTGTGAGCTTAGACATTTTTTCTCACGAATTTATAGAGAAGTAGGCAACCTGCTTATTACCTAGAGCAATGATGGAAAATTATTGTGAAGCTTTTAACTAAATAATTTTGAAGCTTTAATTAGATGCATACACATGGGCATGTTTGGGGTAATGCGAGTTCATCAATTAAGGAGACATTTGCCATGCCTCATGGGGAATATGCACAACTTCTGACCATATAGAAGCAGGGCTAGCCAACCCATGAGACAAGGTGAGGTGACCGCCTCAGGAAGCAGGATCCCGAGGAGAAGCAGATCCTGATGTTGATCTTTATTCCTCTCTTGTTCCTGATGTAGATCTTCACTTGCCCCTTCTTCCCTGGGTGTGTGTGCGTGCGGCATTTTGTGCTTTACCTCAAGAGCCAAAATGCCTTGGGCAGGCCCTTTGTAGAGGGAGTTGTGCACATTAACCATGATATGTATGTGTTTTTCCCCTGACGGAAATAGGAGTCTCTTAACAACTCCGAGCAGGGCTAGGTGTGCGGGCCACCCAGGCGCCGGGCTGTCAGGGGCGCCAGGCTGAGAGTCCAGGGCTCGAGAATTGAATCCAGATGCTCTGACTGACGGGCGGGCCTTTCTGCTGTGGGCGGCTCTGCGACCAAGTTTGGGGGCGACCAAGTCAGCGAGACGCTGAGGCAGCTGGCCAGCTCCGCCCTCCTGCATGCCTGGAACTGGGCAACCTGGGGTGTGTGTGTGCTGGGAGGATCATTGGGGTGGGGGTGACAGCTTGCTTTTATCCTGATTTGAACTACATTGTGGTCTTAGAGGCAAACCAGTGGTGGTGTTGAAAGTGGCATTACATTTAAAATGCATTTTTGGGTGGGGCACTGAATATGGGGGACTTATCAAGATCAAGTCAAGTGTGGAGGGTGTGTTTAACCCTTTCTCCTCTGCAGGGCCCTAAGGGAAATCTCAAATCCATAGCTGTCAAGTGTCCCTTATTTGAAGGGACAGTCCCTTATTCCAGCGTCATGTCCCGCTGCTGTCCCTTATTGATGGATGTCCCTTAAATGACCCTTAAATGATGTCCCTTAAATTTCAAAGGAAGCAGCTCCTCTCCCTCCCTGCCAGCCAGGGAGGAGGGAGGCTCCAACTGTGTTGCTTGGCTGTGTTGCTCACCCAATAAGAAGTGTAAGAACGACTGGGTGGTGGATCTTGCATGCCTTGTGTGTGGCTAGTTAATGCAAGCTGAGGGTTTTTTTGAATGCTGGACACCATTTTGTTGCACGTGGTGTTGCAAACTTTGCAGTGCAAAGCCAGGCCGGGGAGCCATCTTAAGTTGAGGCTGCATAGGCCTTGTGGTGCATGTGATTCAGATTTTATTCAGTTGAACCTCTGGTTACAAAGTTGCTTGGACAGTGTTCTCGAAGCTACCAGCATGAGTTTGACCAGACTGCAGGAGGACAGGAAGACTGGAGTGCCTGGAACAGGTGAGGCTGCAGGTCCCTTATTTTGGCTGCTGGTCCCTTATTTTCAAATCTGTAAGTTGACAGCTATGCTCAAATCACAAGCATTATTTGTTTTGAGATAGGATTCTCCCATTTGCAAACTGAAAAGTTTTTAATAAATAAGAAACCAAATAATATCCCTTCGCCTACCAATCTAGATGTACGAATTTGTGTGAAAAGAGAAAGGAAGATAGAGGGCCTGTCCCACCTCCCCTCCATTCCCAGGAAACCCACTGTATTCTGATGAATTGAGGGGGCGGGGAATCAATTGGTTTTTCTGTGGGTTGACATTTGTTGCATTCAGTGGAAAGCAGTGATTTTTCCTGGGGTAAGTGATGGAGCAAAAGGAAAACCACTTGGACCTGTGATTTGAAAGCATGGGATAAGGAAAAGACCTTTGGGTCCATGAAATGTGTCATTTAGTGCGGTGAAGCTTAATTTTTGCAAATTTCTTCAGGGAAGGGTATTCAAAATATGTTTTTGGGTATGAGGAATTCAGATCTGCTTTATTTTTGTGACTGGACGACACGTAGCTTGGTAAGTCTGCATTTGGAGAAGAAGCACTCAAACTTTCAGAAAACCAAAAAATGTTAATGTTACCTTCTTAAAATGTCGGGCATTACTTAATAATAAAAACATCAAATAACAAATAATATTAATATATAATATAACTGCAAATACTTGGCAATCATTTTTTTATGATTTCCATGCGATTTTATACACAAATGTTACTTCCCAAGAAATACTAAATTATATTAATTTAACCAAAATATATTTTGAATCCCCAAGTCATGTTACAACTTTTTAGCACTCCACCCATACTCCTGGGACGACCCCTGGGACTAGCTGGGACTGGAATCCTGGAAAACTGTAATTGGGGAAACAAAGCCCCAGAGGAATCAAAAGCTTCGCTTCCTTCACTTGCATCGGAGGGACCATGGGCTTCATAAACAGTAGAAGAAGAGGATGGGCCAGGCTGGGGATCAGGCTGCCTCCCAAACTGCTGGGCCAATGACTCAAGTCCAAATTCAACCTGGTCAAGGCTGCAGTGTCTGAGCCAATATTGGCAACGATAGCACCCAGATGATCCAGCGGTTGCTGAGGAACTGCTGGGGCTTGCACTGAACGCAGCGACTGAGATGGGTCCTAAAGGACTAGGGTTCCTTTTAACAGGCATCTCAATAAGCTCTCCCACACTACAAAATAAATAAATTAACTCTTAACCATTAAAATGGCGCTCCCGCCAAAACAAGATGGCGCTCCCACCAAAATAAGCCAGGGAAAATGGCCACCGGCCCCAGTAGTTTCCCCCAACCAGCCTTAAAATTGGGAGGCGGGGGTATAGAATTCACCAGGCTTACAGAGAGGGAACTCTCAAAAGCCGAAACAGCAAACAAAACAATCACTATAACTCAATTTTTTTTTGCCCCCACTAAACTCAGTTCAAGGCTCTTTAAAATAAAGGCGTGGCTATAACCGCTCAAAATTGCTGCTCCCAGAACTCAGGAAAACAGAGGAAACAACCACAGCCAAAAGCGCCAAAGGCAAAAGCCCTGTGGGTGAAATCTCCTCCGCAAATAATAAGAGCGGCCGCTGAGCAGAGGTTTTTTCTGGGCCGCAGTGATGCCATACTCCGGGAGCCCCCGGATCAACCAGCTCATAAGCTAAGCTAAGGCCCTTAGAGGGATTAGCAAACACTACACAAAGCCACAAATATAAAATCGGAATCCGCGGCAAGCCCAGCAAAAGGGAGCACTCAGGAACCCGAAGGAAATTATCAAAAAGCTCTAAAACAGAGTGCTAAGGGCCTGTAGCCCCATGGGGCAAAAGCCCCTCTTAGTAAGGGAAGGGCAAGGACGGGGAGGATTAACCTAAAATTAAAATGAGGGGAAAGGAAGAGGGTGAAAGGAATTAAAAGAAGGGATAACGGAAAGATATCACCAGGACGATCCATCGAAGGTAAATCGCTCTCTCTCTCGGCTCACAGAGGACACGCTGTTGGTGTTCCGAATGCATGTGCCGAAAGAGGAAGCTCTGGGTCACGTGCATGGGTATAAATAGGTCCCTTGAACCGTTTGGACTGCGTCCCATTGGCCAGATTGCATCCAGCTTCGAGGGCCTACCAATTGGGTGTTGTGGCTGACCAATCGTACCCACCCACAACACAGAGTGTCAGTTTTCCAGGTCTCACCATCCTAGTCTTTAAGGGAGGACCCGATTTATTAGAATGTTGTTTGTTTCATCACAAAGTTTGGCTCAGTTCATTCAGCACAATCCCAAGCTCATCTGGGTCGCCATATAACTTCTGCTATCTGATTTTTCTTTCTTCTTTTTAAAGAAACTTGATCCAATTACTTTCTCGAGGATCTGATGAAGAGTCTGCAGGTGTCACTGGTGTACATTCTCATTAAACAGAAATGGGAAGCCAGAGTATCTTTTTCACACACCTGTTTAGACATATCAAGTCACTGATCTTTCAAAATGCATTTGGTGGAGTTTTTGTTTTGCTTTGTTATTTGGGGTAGAGTTGGTGGGAGTTGATATTTCATGTACTCTGGAATGTTTGGTGCTTTTTATTGGTGGGAATCAGATCTAGGTTTTAGTCTTGGTATCAAGGGCAGAACTGGACTGATGGCAAAAATTGGCATTGCCCATCTTGAAAAGGAGAATTCAGTTCCCTCATCAAATTCATATTAAGTAATGAAACCAGATATTATTTTTTTTTTTAAAAAAAGCAAAGAAACAAATAAGCTGCTCTTAGAGATTTTTAAAACATGATTAAGGGGAAATGATAAAGATATATAAAACTGCCCATGTATGCTGTAGAGCAGGCATGTCCAACTCCCAAGAGACTAAGCAACAGAAATGTATTCAGTGCAAATTATCCTTTCTTTACAATCAGTCCAGAAGAACCACATCACTTATCTAAAATAGCAGAAGCAGCGATGGATCTAAGCTTCAGGGCCCTTAATTGAAAACTATAGAGAGAGCAGATAGAATTTCCACATTTTACCACCTGGAACAATTATTTGCAGATGCATGACTTTTACATATTTTATCTATATTGAAGTACAGTTCTGGTTGCCTCACCACAAAAAGGAAACTAGAGATGGGGAAACCAAAATGATCAATGGGTTTCTTTGGTGTTTCTTTTGGTTTCTAAGCGTGGTGTGGAAGAAGTGGACAGATAAAAGTTTTCTTCCTCTCTCATAATACTAAAAGCCAGGGTCATCCAATGAAGCCAAAATGTGGGAGATTCAGGGCAGACAGAACACACAGTGCGAACTATGGAATAACAAGATATCAGGATGGCCACAAACTCAGATTGCTTTAAAAGGTGATTAGACAAATTCATGGAGGTTAAGACTATCAGTGACTACTAGCAACGATTGTTATGTCCTATGGGATGTGGATGGTGCTGTGGTCTAAACCACTGAGCCTCTTGGGTTTGCCGATCGGAAGGTCGGCGGTTCAAATCCCAGCGACGGGGTGAGCTCCTGTTGCTCTGTCCCAGCTCCTGCCAACCTAGCAGTTCGAAAGCATGTCAGTGCAAGTAGATAAATACTGTAGGTACCGCTGTGGGGGGAAGGTAAACGGCGTTTCCGTGCGCTCTGGTTTCCATCACAGTGTTCAGTTGTGCCAGAAGTGTTTTAGTCATGGTGGCCACATGACTTGGAAACCTGTCTGTGGACAAACGCTGCCTCCCTCGGCCTGAAAGGTAGATGAGTGCTGCAACCCCATAGTCACCTTTGACTGGACTTAACCTTCCAGGGGTCCTTTACCTTTTACCTCCACCTCCACCATTGGAGGCAGTATGCCCTTGACTACTAGTCACTGAGAATCAGAGTGCTGTTGCACTCAGGTCCTGTTTGTGGGCTTCCCAGAGGCATCTGGCTGGCTGATGTGAGAACAGAATGGTGGATGGATGGCCCTTTAACCAGATGCAACACAGCTCTTCTTTTGTTCTTAAAGAAATTGGAAAGGCTTCAGGATGCCTCTCTGCCTCCCCCCGCCCCCAAAAGCCAGACCAGGTAAGTAGTATTTGCACAGCCTTAGTTTCTCATAATTTAAATGTATAATTCATTTTAGATCTGGTATATTTTTTGTGCCATGACAAATTTGGAAATACTAGAGATGACGTCTTTATCCTTTGTAGGATCATGAACAATCAATAGCAATTGATTGGCATGCCCTGTTGTGTCGAGACTAAGCTGTGTTTCTTTATCTCAGTGTAGATTGTATCTCAGTTGTGTATTCATTATTGGAATTACAGGTCAAATTGTAGCATTCTTTTTTATTTTTTTAAGTGCAGAGATTTACTGTTTGTAAAGGGACACTTTCAAGGTTACTTATTCACACATCTCTGTTCTATTATAATTTATTATAAAGTCATCTCCACACCCCTACACACCGGTGCTGCTTTCCTGAACCATCCTATTGAATCTGATGGGATTGCAATGTGCAGGTACAAATACAAAATTCACTTAGAATTCTTCATACATCTGGTAAATTAAACTTTTTAAAAAGAGATCATATATTATTGAAGTTATAACAATTTAACCCAAACAGAAAGAAATAAACAATTATGCTTAGCAGTTTAGATAGTACCTAACCACACTTAAGGGGAAAAGTCCTGTTAAGCACAGCGGGACTTACACCCAAGTAAAGACACATAGGACTGTGCTGTTAAGAGTTTTATCTGTTTGACATGGACAGATTAGATGGAGAGGACAATGGTTTTGCGTGGTGAGTCCCGCCTCCCCCCTTGGAAAATAAAGACACAAGACACAGCATTTAAGGTTAATGGGCGAAAAAGGCCACAACTTTACTGATTGCAGGAATTGAGTGGTATTGCCTTAGGCATTGGTCCTATCGACTAACCGGCTTCAGCCTGATTGCTTGAAGACCGGCAAGGGTTAACAGCCAGTAAGGGGAGTCCTGCTGATGTACATCAACTAGGAGCTCCCCCAGGGTCACTGCTCGGGGGCGTGCCTTAGGCCCACACCTCCATAGGCTTCGGACAAGGCAACGCCCCCCGGAATCCTTTACCGGACTACCCTTCAATTTGGGGGAAAGGTGATGGCGCTTCCTTCCCTCCTCATCTGCATAAAAATACCCCTACCAATACCTAACCACCAATGCCGAGGAAGTTGTGATGATTTGCTGCGAGGTAGGCGAAAAAACCAAATGGCTGGTGCCAATTTGCCAAGTGGAAAAATTCCTACCAGGCCCCTTGATGGCGGCCAACCGAAGTCCATAGCAATGTCAGAGAGCCAAACTGGAGCAGCTGGCGTAAAGAAGAGAGGGAAATCCTCAGCCGCGCCAGCCCTAAATAGCCCGGGCCACACCTCCCTGGCCAGCCAATTGGCTGGCCAAGGAGATGACGCGCCTGAGGATTCCCTCAGTCTCTCAGGGGCTGTGAGTCAGCCCCCGCGCACGTGGGGAGGGCGTGGGGCCCGCAACCCCACCTCCTCTCCAGCTCGGAAGTGGCTTTCTCCCAGTAGCACTGCACTCATTAGCATGGGTATGAACAAGGGCAAGACAGCAGTGGTAAAGTTGAATACGATCTAGTGTCTAGAGCCCCACAGGTGCACACACACACTTGCAAGCCTGCCATTGCAGCCTGGAGCTTCCCCACCTCTCCCTGTCCCCATCCTGATGATTTTTGCACAGCCAGGAGGACACCACCACCTCTGTCCCACATCACAAGCCATCATTGATCCTTGGACTTTCCAACTACCCCATAAAGTAGGTCAGTTTTGCTCTTCTGGTGTTACAGTTGTGAAGCTGATACATAGAGGATGGATATATAATATAATAATAATAATTTATTATTTATACCCCGCCCATCTGGCTGAGTTTCCCCAGCCACTCTGGGCGGCTCCCAATCAAGTGTTAAAAACAGTACAGTGTTAAATATTAAAAACTTCCCTGAACAGGGCTGCCTTAAGATGTCTTCTGAATGTCAGGTAGTTGTTTATCTCTTTGACATCTGATGGGAGGGCGTTCCACAGGGCGGGCGCCACTACCGAGAAGGCCCTCTGCCTGGTTCCCTGTAGCATCACTTCTCACAATGAGCGAACCGCCAGAAGGCCCTCAGCGCTGGATCTCAACGCCAGAAGGCCCTCAGCGCATCGTTCAGTGGGCTGAACGATGGGGGTGGAGACGCTCCTTCAGGTATACAGGACCGAGGCTGTTTAGCCTCCTTCAGGTATACAGGACCGAGGATGGAGCTTGATAAAGGCCCCCTTTAACTTCAAGGTAGAGCAGAAGCAGGAATTTAAGAGAGAAATTGCAGTTCAGAGTCCAGGTCATAACACCACACTAGTATTTTATTGATTTATTTGTTCATTTGATTTTAAAAAACAAAACAAAACAAAAACCTACATTTACTTATTTTGCTTTGTGAGTAAGAATGGAATATATGGAAATGATATGCACTAGAGCACTGTATTTGGTTTGACACTTCAGCTGGCCTGGGATCTTGGGGCTTTGAGTGAAACTTGCCATTCAGTCCTGTGTGGACCTGGGACTAGATCACATCAAACAGCATAGGCTTATATCAGAATGAATTGACTTTGGATCAGGACACTATTATGACTGCTGCTTTTGTTGTTATTTAACACTTACAAAGCACCTGCATTTTTAAAAAGGACTGTACATAGACTAAAATATAATAGAGTCCATGCTCAAATACTCACAATCTAATGTGATTCAAAACTGGGAAGTGCACAATAAAGCAAGCTTTGGGGCCTCTGCTCCCATGTGTTCTTCAAAAAACTAGTGGATGATGAAATTTGGGGGGCCATTTCATTTAATGTTTTCTAGAATTTTTTATTTGCCAATGGTTGCTTTCTCCCCACCTGTTTCAACTTATATTTGCAGAAATCTGTCACACGCAGCAACAGTCACAAATAATTCCATCGCAAATGAGCAGGGTGGGCTTTTTTCGTGGTTTTTTTTTCTTTCCTTTTTGCAAAGTTCTAGCAAAAGAGATAAAAAGTAGGTAACTTTCCTCCAAGTGTGTTATTTCTGTGATGCTTTGAAGTGTTTGATCTGTGCTATTTTGTCATACTGAAGTAATGAGGGTGTCTGCAAATCAGGCATTTTGCTACATGAGACAGGTGTAAAAATGAGCCCTATCGGATTTTGTCACTTTTCTATCTATAATGTATGCTACAGTCTTTTCGCTTACATCTAATGCAGATCAACTTTTTAAAAGTGTACCTTAGAATACTTATGGATTCTGCACTGTGGTGGCAATGCATATGACAATGTTCTTGTGTGCCTCTGTCTTCTCCTATATATCTAGGCAGTTTTCAACGATATGAGCTCAACTGCCATTTGAGTTTATCTTCTAGCCTCAGAGGACAGAGCTGTGATCTAGTAACTATGCTCAGGTATCATCACCTTCAGCATTAGATAGGATAGTATGAAGGCTGCTGTTGTAGCTGTTGTAGAAAACCCTTTCCCTGGTCACTTGAATGTGTCACAACATCAGACTTCTGTTCCTTAGATAGTCCGGAGGGCTGCCAAGAACAACTGACTGGCCGCTTACTACTGCCCAGTTTCCTTGATATGGCAGAGCCTAATCAGCAGAGGCACTAGGCTAAATACTGCTACATCCATCTATTATTCCCTGCTATGTAAGCTCTAAGACTCCAAGACCCATTCTCCCTTTCTGCTCCGTATGCTGGGAACATCTTCCAAATATCCAGGTGTCCCTCAACCTTTCTCTCTGCCTGCAACCCACATCCCTTTCATGTCAATTTTTTACTATTAAAATGAAACCCAAAGATATGAAGCATCACAGTCTGCAGATCCATTCCCTGTTATCCTTCTGCTCATTGTAAAGCAGTCTTCAACAACCCAGCACTCTCCAGATTCTTTTTGGGATACAGCTCCTACTAGCCCAAGAGTCTAGAATGTCTGAAGGGCATCAGGTTGGCAAATCATTAGATAGGTAGGTAAAGAACAATCTACATATTATATTGAGCTGTATATAACCTGCCCTGGGGCTGAACAGTAAAGGGCAGGCTAGCAGCCAGTAAGAGCAGTACAAGGAAATAAGATTCTGAACTAATCACACACACATACACACACCAATCCTGGCCACCTGGGAGCCAGGCAGGGGCTGTGAATAGGGAAGGCGATCTTCGCTTTTGCTCTTCCCAGCCTCTGCCTGGCAGCCTAGAAACCAGGTGGGGGCCAGGCCAAACAAGTACGCTTGCCACCCCTGCCCAGCACTTACTAGGTGTCATGTGGCACATCACATGACGAGTCACATGACCATGCCCCCTCAATGTGGGGGAGGCAACTTGGTGCCCCTGCTAGCGGGAATAACATGTCAGACCCCTTTTGTCAAATCTTTGAATTCTAAATTCCATTTTTTCTTCTTCCTGAAACTTGGGTGAACTGGGGGGGGGGGCAGAGAAAATCTAGAAGCCATTTGGAAGGGAAAGAAGCATGGCAATCTAATCTAAACTAATCTAATATATATATATTTAAGAACCATGTAAAAAAGAGCAATGTAGTTAATTCCAAAACTTCCAATTTCATGCCCACTTATACTATGACGTTGAATTGTTTCTTAATCTGGTCTGTTTTGATATTTGTATTTTGGCAAGAAGGTGATAAGGAAAAAGACTGAGCATGTTTAAGACTGAGCATCGTCTGGAACTCTTCCTTGCCTGATGGAGGATAGAAAAGGGTGGCTGGCTAGCTGTGTAGAAACTGCCCTGCTGTACAAAGGTAAAATTTATGTTGGTTGTTCAACCCACTTTTGCCTTTGGCTCCATCCACACTGGCATGTGATGCTCAGTTTCCCAGGTTGAAAAATCTCTGATCTAAATCAATGTGGTTGTGCTGCTGCTTTTATACAGGCAGTTAATATTGTTATAATGTATTTTTGGGGTGAGGAGTTGGCTATATGTTGAGACCCTAATAACCCCAGGATCCAGCAAGTGTTAAAATACAAACTAGGCTAGCTTCCCACTCAGCTGAGAGTCTGGGTGATGGGCCATTAAGGGAACAAAGGAAGGGATTCTGGGCAAGACTGTAAATGGATGGGGGCCCCTCCCTCAACTCACAGGTAGTTAGAAAGACAAAATGGCAGGAGTGAGAGTTGGAGTGATGTGAACTAGAATCAAACAGCAAACTTAGAAGACAGAGTCAGAGCAGTGTTTGATTCCCGTTTGAATCAAAGATTGCGGCTATGAAGGAAGGAAGGCCCTCTTGGGTGTTAATGCTCTGAACTGCTCCTTCATAGGCTAAGGTTGTATATATGTGTAGATAAACCATCCATCATAAAGACACCACAGCCTCTGCTGTGTCTCATTTCCAAAGGAAATGCGAACCCTGAACAAGCACCTGGAACCCCTGGGATCTTGCACCACTCAGAGATTTGGGGGGAGGCATGCAACAATATACTTCGGAGGCACTGTGTCTTGCCATATGCACTATAAACAATTAATGGTGTCAGAAGAGACCCTGTAGTCTATTGCCATGTTGGAGAAACAAACAGTTTGCCCAGATGATGGAAATTAATGACCATGATGGTTTGACAGGATTAACAACCAGAGAGGAGAGGAGGAAATGCTTTATCTCAAATGCAATGGCCAATAAAGCATCGTCCAGCTCAGCAAAACTGGAAAGGTGAAGTGAAGGCTATTGGTTCAGCTGTCGTAAGTTTTAAGAAAGCAGACATCTTTGCAGCGAGAGCTGTTCATGTGTTTTCCCCACCCCATAAAACTTCTTTCCTGGATTATCAGAGACTTAATTAGTCTCTGGACTCAGCTGTACAGCTGCATATAAAACGTTTTAAGTGTGTTTTAAGTGCAATATACAATGTGACACTAGATGACGATGGTGAACCTTATGGATATATATATATATATATATATATATATATATATATATATATATGAGAGAGAACACTTTTTAAAACAGCATTTTCAGAACATTTTTATATGTGTGTAGAATCCACCTCTTCTCTGCTGCTAAGTAATTCCCCCTTGTTCTGTTTCTTTACTAACTCTAGTCATGCACAAGCAGACTCTCCTAGTTATGGAAAGGGATGGGGAAGATTCTGTCTCTAAAATAATCCAGGCTACAAACCTATTGACCTTGTTGAGCCAGAAAGAATTCCAGAACATAGGCCATACTTGCTGTAATGTTTCCACAACTAGACACTTTGGGCAAGTGGAAGAGTCTATTCAGACGTGAGGATTTTTGTATTAGTTTTTTGTGATTATAATGCTAGTACTTCTACCCTGGAGCCTAATGTTCCTTTTACACTGCATTACCTGTTATGAAACAGTGGCCTTTTGATCCAAATACCATGTGTATCATTCTAAATTTTAAATATCATGCTGATTTAAAAACGGTGGGGAAAAGCTGCATACCACCCCAAATTTTCTCACATGAAATTGCAATGAAAATCCCCACAATTATGCAGCAAACGACACCACCACTTCCAGAAATCAAAGCTGGGCAATTTATTTGGGCAGCTGAGGCAGAAAACCCTACAAACACATCTTCCCCTCACAGACTGTAAAAAATAAAACTGCAACAATATAAATGCCTAAACATTTGCTTCCTTTTCATGACACCGAAAATCAGTTTTATTAAGGTCTGTCTAAAATAGGCTAGCCCAGTTCATAGCTTCCCATGTATTCTTAGGTCACACCCACACCATATGTTTAAAGCACTATTATACCTCTTTAACTGTCATGGAGAATCCTGGTAGCCTATACCACCATTAACAAACCACATTTCCATAATTCTTCATGATTGGGGGCACTTGTTAAGGCTGAAAGGTTGTACAGAACCAGTAATGGGCCCCTCAGTTCCATCAGTATCACTCATAGTAGTATATTAGCCCCAGACAGAAGAGTGAGAAGAAGTCGAGAGGCCTTGAGGGCTGGCAGCTGTGGAGAAGGATGTTCTCCCCCTTGAGATTATAGATCTTTTGGCTTGCCGTACTGAGACTCCTGTGAACTTCAGAGCCTCTTGGAGTGCAGAGAATGCTTTGAGCAGCCAGTGAGAGGGGCTGGGAAAAAAGGAAGTTGGGCAGAGCTGGAATCATGAAGGCAAGACAGGTGGTTGTTGTTGAGAACCAGGCATCACCTCTGCATTTAGGGCAGTGCAACCAGTTCTGCCACACTAGTTGTTGAGCCTAGGGAGTGCTGCAGGGCATCACAGCTATGATGTAGTGAATTGAGCGGAACAGAAGGTGAGAAGCAATGGAGTGCCAATTTTTGGCCTCACACAGGGCACTGCTGAAATTTGAAAGACCAAAAATCTGCCTCTGATCAAATGCACCAACCTAGGCAGAGATTGTGTTTGCATGAGTGGCAGTCTCATAAGGTGAGAGAGTCTTGTGAGTGAGGCCACCCCACCCCACCTTTAAAAGGCTTGATGGGACAGACGTGACAACTGTTGGGGCATCTTCATTGCTTTTGTTCAATTCTGAGTCTCTTGTCTTGTGTGTGCGCCTTGGAATCACACTTGGATCCTGTGCTTTTTGTTCAGCCTGTATAGAGGTCTCTTCCTTACTCTCAGGTGTAAGTGTCTTGGGACAGGAGCATGCCAATTATTGTTTTTTAAAAAAACAAATAAACCACATGAACAAATAATTTTAACAAATAAACCACATAAACAAATAAACCACACCACAGGACCCCCCCCCCCATGTTTGCAGGTCATCCTTAGCCTCTCCCCACATGGGAGAGTGGGAGAACAAGTAAGAGAAGTTTGGTTTGGCTTTAGTTATAATGCAGATCAATGTAACTGGTTGTCTCTTAAAATAATATGGAAACTGAAATTCAGCTGTTCTTCAAAATTCACACTTTTCTTAATTTGGTGATGCAGTTTTTCACTTTAAAAAAGTGTGCATATTAGGAGAAAGTGTGCATAACAATGTACATATTAATTAAGACAAACATCCAAAACATTATATGAGGGAGATACCCATATGAGAGTTTCATATGAGAAACTATGAGGGAGACAGTTGCATGCAAAATTATGTATAAAAAGCACCCACTAAGAATTTTCACGAGTTTTCTTTTTTAAAGTAACACACTGATACAGAAATGTGGCCAGCTGAATATAAAATGGGATAAATGCTTAACTAAGAGAATCTGAAATTGACAGATTCATCCATCCTCATCTCCTCATATCTGTAATGGTGGGTTGTGGAAACCACTTTAATTCTGCAAGCTATTCTGAAGTACTGTCAGAGTGGAAAGTATACATTCCTGGCTCCAGCAAAGCTTTCAGAAGTGGAACCAAACAGCTCCACTCATCCTTATCTGTCTGCGGAGCTCTAGATTTTTGATTCTCAGTAAATCAGTGTTCATGCCAGTATGTTTCGACACTTGCCTTTGTACCAGCGCATCGTGGTTACTTCAAGTGTTAGCTGCGTGACTGAGCTCTGAAGTGTATGGGTATAAAAATCTCTTCAGCGAATCTTGAGAGAATGTGAATACAATGATGATGGCTTAGCATTCTAGCTTTCACAGGGAGTAGGAGAGTGGTGGTTGGAAGGTCATAGTACATTGTGAATCATTCCGTCTCCTCCTCATCAACATAGCAACAAGCCTCATTCATCCTGAATTTGCCTGACTGCTCGACCTGTGTCACAATAGAAATCAAGTTTCTGAATGCTTGGAACAAATCCCCAAGTTGAGATTGCCTGCGTATTTGTCATCCAAGAGTGGTTTTCATTAATTTGAATATAATAGCAGTGATGAAGAGATGTGCTCAGATATTCAGTGTTTTATACCACAGAAGTTTGGGCTGCAATCTTCTTGTCACTTCCTTAGGAGCAGGCCTCATTGAACGCAATGGGACTTATTCCTGTGTGTACACAGGGCTAGGTAGTACAGCTCGTAACAATTATGGGACAGAAATTTACAGAGGACAGTTCTTCATTTGAAAATGTCCTCTAGTTGAAAGACTGCCTGGTCCAGAGCTACAGAACCCTAAGAAGGGAGGACAAGGGAGGGTCTTGAAGTGGTCCATCAATGGTTGGCACCTGAGTAACAGTAGGCACACAAAACACCTAGTCACAGCCATCCTCACTATGGTGAGTTATAGTGTGTTTCTGTTATTTATATTTAAATGAGAGAAATGACTTTTATTTACCCTATTTATTTCCACCGCTAGGTATAAATTGGCAAATGCAAACTTTATGCAAATCTGTGCCCCCTCCCCGGTAATACCTAAAGGGGCAATTCTATGCACATTTCCCTTCTGTTTCTTCTCTCCAGTTCAGACTGTGCTTTCTTCTGGACTTCTTAAGCACTGTCTCCATCCCACTCCTGAAATCAGTTCCTGGGATGGCAGGAAGCATCAGAGATGCTTCATAAGACCATAAAAACACAAGAAGAGTCTTGGTGGATCAGGCCAATGACCCATCTAGTCCAGGATCCTGTTCTCACAGTGGCCAACCTGATGCATATGGGAAGCTCACAAGAAGGATTCAAGCAGGAGAGCAGTTCTCTGAACTTGAGATTTCCAGAAAGTGGAAATTCCTCTGGCAGTGGAGGTAGAACATAGCCATTGTGACTAGTAGCCTTTGCTAGCCTTATCCTTCATTAATCATCCTCTGCCCCTTCCTATTGCCTAAAGTAGGTTCCTAGTTCTTGCTTTTTCCCCTCTCTCGAGTGGGAGGAGACTTGAGAACAATGCAGCAGTCGATGTTCTGCTCTTTTAAACTTGTATTTAAAAAAAAAATATCACAAAGCCATATACAAAATTAGCTGTGGTGACTGTATGCAACCTGTATTTTTCTGAGGAAGTAGACTTTTGTGGACCAACAGGGCATAAATGTGGGACAGAGCCATCCCCCTCCATTTCTGCTTGCAATCTTCCCACAGATGTGTGGCTAGCATAGGCGCCGACTCCATGGGGCTTGAGGGGGCTTGAGCCCCCTCAAAAAAATTTTTGGGGGGGCTCAGCCCCCCCAATAATCTCGGGCGGGCGCCCTTCCAGCAGAGCGCGGCCGCCGTCCCCCGCCTCCTCCTCACCTGCTCCTTCGCCATTCAGCCAGCCGCGCGCCCTAATCGGAGGCACTGCCGGAAATCCCGCGAGAACAGGGGAATCCCGACTGGCCACACCTCCCAGCCAGCCAATCGGCTGGCTGGGGGGGCGTGGCTTGCCCTATTTAGGGCCGGAGCCACTTTATTTGCATATTAATGAGCTTATTTATTATTCATGAGCTTTCCCGGGCCCCCCCAATATTTTTTCTAAGTCCGCGTCCCTGGTGGCTAGCCAATGTGGGTAGGATGCTAGGGCTAGATAGACTTTTGGCCTGAAACAGCAGGGTCTCCTCTTACGCTAAGTGCTGGAGAGGAGGAGGCAGAATCCTGCAATGTGAGTACCAGCCCTTGGCTAAATGAAATGTGAAGCTTCCTTTAGTGGAAGGCCGCTCATTAAATAAAATAAATATGGAGCCATTGATTCAGTTAGCGAGCGTTTGAAATGGGTCCTTCATCAGGATGATTTTACAGTGCCATACTCTTAGCACATTTGCTTTGATGGACTGGATTCCCCTTTATTTTTATCGCCTCATTTTTGTGCTTTTGTTTATCCATAATATAGCGCTCCTGGAATTAAAAGCATTGTTTATGGCTCTTTTTTTGCACCATGGTTTTGCTAACATGTCGCATCTTTTTGATGTACGGAGACCAGGATTCCTTTCCTGCTTTGTATTAAATATAAACAAAATAAATAAAACTATTAGAAATGCAGAACTCGTTTTATTGCTTTAGCTTGGGTATCTTGTACTTTAGGATACTGCACATTTGACATTAAGCCTTAGTATATGGCTCTGTGAG